CCCATGACCTGGAGGCCCCCTGGTAGAAGGTAGATAACCTGGAGGCCCCCTGGTAGAAGGTAGATAACCTGGAGGCCCCCTGGTAGAAGGTAGATGATCTGGATGCCCCCCTGGTAGAAGGTAGATGACCTGGAGGCCCCCCTGGTAGAAGGTAGATGACCTGGAGGCCCCCTGGTAGAAGGTAGATGACCTGGAGGCCCCCTGGTAGAAGGTAGATGACCTGGAGGCCCCCTGGTAGAAGGTAGATGACCTGGAGGCCCCCTGGTAGAAGGTAGATGACCTGGAGGCCCCTGGTAGAAGGTAGATGACCTGGAGGCCCCCTGGTAGAAGGTATATGACCTGGAGGCCCCCTGGTAGAAGGTAGATGACCTGGAGGCCCCCTGGTAGAAGGTAGATGACCTGGAGGCCCCCTGGTAGAAGGTAGATGATCTGGAGGCCCCCTGGTAGAAGGTAGATAACCTGGAGGCCCCTGGTAGAAGGTAGATGATCTGGAGGCCCCCTGGTAGAAGGTAGATTACCTGGAGGCCCCCTGGTAGAAGGTAGATAACCTGGAGGCCCTCTGGTAGAAGGTAGATAACCTGGAGGCCCCCTGGTAGAAGGTAGATAACCTGGAGGCCCCCTGGTAGAAGGTAGATGATCTGGAGGCCCCCTGGTAGAAGGTAGATAACCTGGAGGCCCCTGGTAGAAGGTAGATGATCTGAAGGCCCCCCTGGTAGAAGGTAGATAACCTGGAGGCCCCCTGGTAGAAGGTAGATAACCTGGAGGCCCCCTGGAAGGAGGTAGATGACCTGGAGGCCCCCTGGAAGGAGGTAGATGACCTGAGGCCCCTGGTAGAAGGTAGATAACCTGGAGGCCCCCCTGGTAGAAGGTAGATAACCTGGAGGCCCCCTGGAAGAAGGTAGATAACCTGGAGGGCCCCCTGGTAGAAGGTAGATGACCTGGAGGTCCCCTGGAAGGAGGTAGATGACCTGGAGGCCCCTGGTAGAAGGTAGATGACCTGGAGGCCCCTGGTAGAAGGTAGATAACCTGGAGGCCCCCCTGGTAGAAGGTAGATAACCTGGAGGCCCCCCTGGTAGAAGGTAGATGATCTGGAGGCCCCATGGTAGAAGGTAGATGACCTGGAGGCCCCCTGGTAGAAGGTAGATAACCTGGAGGCCCCCTGGAAGGAGGTAGATAACCTGGAGGCCCCCTGGTAGAAGGTAGATGACCTGGAGGCCCCATGGTAGAAGGTAGATGACCTGGAGGCCCCCTGGTAGAAGGTAGATAACCTGGAGGCCCCCCTGGTAGAAGGTAGATAACCTGGAGGCCCCCTGGTAGAAGGTAGATGACCTGGAGGCCCCTGGTAGAAGGTAGATGACCTGGAGGCCCCCTGGTAGAAGGTAGATGACCTGGAGGCCCCCTGGTAGAAGGTAGATGACCTGGAGGCCCCCTGGTAGAAGGTAGATAACCTGGAGGCCCCTGGTAGAAGGTAGATTACCTGGAGGCCCCCCTGGTAGAAGGTAGATAACCTGGAGGCCCCCCTGGTAGAAGGTAGATAACCTGGAGGCCCCCCTGGTAGAAGGTAGATAACCTGGAGGCCCCCCTGGTAGAAGGTAGATAACCTGGAGGCCCCCTGGTAGAAGGTAGAGACCTGGAGGCCCCCTGGTAGAAGGTAGATGACCTGGAGGCCCCCTGGTAGAAGGTAGATAACCTGGAGGCCCCTGGTAGAAGGTAGATAACCTGGAGGCCCCTGGTAGAAGGTAGATGACCTGGAGGCCCCCCTGGTAGAAGGTAGATAACCTGGAGGCCCCCCTGGTAGAAGGTAGATAACCTGGAGGCCCCCTGGTAGAAGGTAGATAACCTGGAGGCCCCCCTGGTAGAAGGTAAATGACCTGGAGGCCCCCTGGTAGAAGGTAGATGACCTGGAGGCCCCCTGGTAGAAGGTAGATGACCTGGAGGCCCAGACATGTTGCTTTGCATCACTTGTGGTCAAGCAAACTGTTAATGGCGGAGTCGGCCATTAGAGAGACGAGGCGCGCCCACAGAATCCAGAGAGTTGCCGTACACAAGGTAAGTTACGGGCTCACCATAGCCCGTGCTACTTGCCCCGCTCCTGTGTCAGGTAAGTTACGGGCTCACCATAGCCCGTGCTACTTGGAACTTGTTCCGAGAAGCTGAATCTATAACAAGAAAGTTGTACACGCATGAGGGAGGTGGCGGTGAGGTCCGTGTCTCCAGTCATCTCTGGCAGCCCCCAGTCATCTCTGGTAGTCCCCAGTCATCTCTGGTAGTCCCCAGTCATCCCTGGTAGTCCCCCAGTCATCCCTGGTAGTCCCCCAGTCATCCCTGGTAGTTCCCCAGTCATCCCTGGTAGTCCACCAGTCATCCCTGGTAGTCCCCCAGTCATCCCTGGTAGTCCCCAGTCATCCCTGGTAGTCCCCAGTCATCCCTGGTAGTCCCCAGTCATCCCTCCCCAGTACTAACCCGTAAACACTCATGGGGGGCAATAGAGTGCCAAGACACGTCCTCACATAGGGCCGGAGATCACGTGTTTAAGACCCTGAATTGAACCCTTGAGGACACGACTACTGAGGGACGGTGCTGCGTGCTGACAGTCGACAGTCAGCGTGGCTGACGCCGTGACTGGTGCCCGGGGGGGGGGGGGGGCTGCTGACTGCGGGGGCGTCACATTGACTGATTCGCGAATTTGTCAGTTCGGATACGGTCGCGCCACGAGGAGTGGGGGGGGGGGGAGGGGGAGGGGGAGGGGGGGCGAGGCAGGGGTGGGAGGGGGGTGGTACACACCTGGAAACAACAGGTGTGTGCCCGTATACAGGTGTTTACTTATTGATATACAAGTCTGACCTACGCTTGAAACAATCAAGTGATCCCCACGTCAATTATCTTACCCGCTATTTTTTTTCCATAAATCCACAAGTTTGTTTCCAGACCAGTATTTACCCAGGTCTTTAATCGATGTAAACTTATTCAATTTATATCCATTGCTTCCTGTCATGTTTTGTGGTATATTAAATACGTTATTAATATACCCCCTTGTTAAACCCTGATCGTTTTAACATAAATTGTAAATTAAGATTTCTCAATCAATCCATATGGAAGATTTGTAATTTCTGGGAATAAATTTGGGATCCTTCGCAAACTATGAAGTAACACTGATCTTATGCAACTAACCATATCACCCCTAATACCGTGATCCTCCATCTAATTAGTCTTTCGTGTAGCATAGTATTAAAAGCTTTGTATCAAGGTTCAGAACGACACTAACATGTCCACTACCAACCGCCTCAATTAGGCTGGAATAGAAGGGTTGAAACCGAAGTTCTACTGAACTTCGAGAACTACTGATCTACGGGATCCAGTAAGTTCAGTAGAACTTCGGTTTCAACCCTTTTACCCTGTCGTAGCTCAGTCGATTAAGGCTGTGTCTGGGATGCTCCCGGACGCAGGTTCGAATCCTCGTCACGGCCCTTGTGGATTTGTTCGAGGGAGGCCGTCGTTGCGCAAGGGAACACTTTGGATAATGCTGATTTGAATCACACACATTATGGTAGCGAGTCTTACCTTGGTGTCTCCCATAGTGAGGTGGGAGGGGGTAAGGCAGCATAGCGGCACCCTGCTCTGTCTCGTGCATCTTCATTTACCCCTCTTGTAGACGCTAATGGTGCTCTCTGACCTCCTCTCAACACCCCTCCCTCACAACCCCTCTACCCTCCTGCTTTCTTCCTCATTGTGTACATCTAAGACTTGGGATGCAGGCGATGAGTCACAATAACGGGGCTGGAGTATGTTGACCAGACCACACACTAGAAGGTGAAGGGACGACGACGTTTCGGTCCGTCCTGGACCATTCTCAAGTCGATCGACTTGAGAATGGTCCAGGACGGACCAAAACGTCGTCGTCGTCCCTTCACCTTCTAGTGTGTGGTCTGGTCAACATACTTAAGCCACGTTATTGTGACTCCTCGCCTGCAAGATTATCCAGGTCACCTAAGCTAAGGGTATGGGTATGTGGGCCTGCGGGCCGCTCCAAGCAACAGCCTGGTGGACCAAACTCTCACAAGTCAAGCCTGGCCTCGGGCCGGGCTTGGGGAGTAGAAGACCTCCCAGAACCCCATCAACCAGGTATCAACCAGGTATCAACCAGGTATCATCCAGGTGTCAAGCTAACTACTGACCTGCCTCAGGATCCAACACACACAATAGTTGTCTCAGGGCGAACGACAGCGGCTGGAGGCGCTGAGATGCATGGGTTCCGTTCATGGTGTTGGCACTTGTACTAGGGCCATGTGGACGCCGCAGACTCCTAGCCGCCTGCGGCACAAAGGAAGCCGCCTTCAGCTTTGCCACATAAATCGCTCAAAGGATAACTGGTTCGTTCAATCTTCACATGACCTTCAAACACAGTCTTACACAAGAGTTTAACAACAGGTCAATGTAGCATTTTAAATGTTTGTAAGATCATTAAAATAAAAAATAGCCGAAGGCCTATTGGCCCATGTCTGCCAGTTCGTATTTATAGCCAATCAGAATCATAGATATGTACACACTCCATGTGTAAGGCCCCTGTGATCGCACGTCCATCACGTTCCCTGTAATCTACTACATAAATCTACACTCCTGTTTACAAACCAGTATTTACCCAGGTCTCTTGTGAATGTAGCCCTACCCAGTTGCACACATCCTGGTTAGTCCGGCAGAGCACCCGCAGGTGGCGCCACAGGCCACGTGTAGAGATACTTCATTGGCACTATAGCGTCAGACTTAAAATGGAAATAAGACTTTTATGGCTTAAAAGCCTTCCTGTCCTAGCCACCAGGCTCAAGTCTGAGGACGAAGGAAGAGAGGATCTTCTTGAGGTTATCTTGAGATGATTTGGGGGCTTTTAGTGTCCCCGCGGCCCGGTCCTCGACCAGGCCTCCACCCCCAGGAAGCAGCCCGTGACAGCTGACTAACACCCAGGTACCTATTTTACTGCTAGGTAACAGGGGCATAGGGTAAAAGAAACTCTGCCCATTGTTTCTCGCCGGTGCCTGGGATCGAACCCAGGACCACAGGATCACAAGTCCAGCGTGCTGTCCGACCGGCTCCCGTCCTCCTCATTATTTTTGCATCATCAGCAAACATTGAGAGGAAGGAGTCAGTTCTCCCTGTAAGATCATTTACGTCTTTAGACGCAGTAAAGATCCTGGTAATGAACCCTAGTGGGACTCCGCGGGTGACAGCACTAATATCTCACCCTCTAAGTAATTCGCTGCCTTCTGTACTTAAGCACTAGTCTCTAATGGGGTGGTCTGTCAAAGGCTCGTCAGGCGTGACAAGGCAGCTTATCATTCTCTCTTATTTAATTTTATCGTCTGGACATAGAATTCTAAAAAAATCTAAACATGCGAGAGAAGATTTACCATCCATGAAGTCATGTTGGAGCCGGTCGGCCGAGCGGACAGCACGCTGGACTTGTGATCCTGGGTTAGATCCCAGGCGCCGGCGAGAAACAATGGGCAGAGTTTCTCTCACCCTATGCCCCTGTTACCTAGCAGTAAAATAGGTACCTGTGTGTTAGTCAGCTGTCACGGGCTGCTTCCTGGGGGTGGAGGCCTGGTCGAGGACCGGGCCGCGGGGACACTAAAGCCCCGAAATCATCTCAAGATAACCTCAAGATGTGTTTATAAGTTCCTATTCTCCAAATGTGCTATTAACTTTTTTTCTCCTCACAATCATCTCACATGGTATACAAGTTAGGGACACTGGCCTGTAGTTCAGTACCTTCTATCTGTCTCCCTCCTTGTCTATTGCGACTACGTTAACTGTTATCCAACTTTCTGGTAGGTCTCCAGTTTCCAACGACCAATTATGCACCATAGAATGTGGCAAGCAGAGTGCTTCTTGCCCCTGTCTTAGTACCATTGTGAGATTCTCTCTGGTGTAAAACCTTTTGTCACGGGTCAGCTCCAGCAGGAAATGCTTCCCTCATCTCTGGTGAAATATAATTGTTCCATTGTTGGTAGTGTTTACTGCCACCTGTCTCAGCTCAGGTCCTTCTCCTTGCTCTACTACCTTACATTAAGAAATTTCCTTATAAAATATATATATATATATATTATATATATATATATATATATATATATATATATATATAACTGAAAACTCACACCCCAGAAGCAACCTGAGTTTTCAGTTGCATATTGTCCTGGGGACTATTTCAGGCTTGTTCGCATATATATATATATATATATATATATATATATATATATATATATATATATAATATATATTATATATATATATATATATATATATAATATGCGAACAAGCCAGCCTGAATGGTCCCCAGCCTGAATTTTTGTGTTCCTCACGTGTGCTCCAAAGAATGAGGTGATTTGATAAAATGCTATGCCCAAGATTACCATCCGAGTGCCGGCGGGGAAGTGGTTCAAATAGCTTCTGCTATCACTTCCTTTTGTCCCGTCGTGATGGTCAAGGGGATTAAGGCGTCCTGTAGATACCAGTTGCGTTGCTCCTGGCAGTATGGTTTCGAGTCACTTCTGGGGTGTGAGTTTTCAGTCATATATATATATATATATAGTGTGTGTGTGTGTGTGCTTGTGATCTAGAAAGCCTTGAAAGGTATACACGTTGTCATAAACGGAGACCGGTAGGTGATAATATTTAATACTTCGTGACAATCATTTTAATACTTAGCTTCCTTATTGATTATTGAAAACCTTTCTGATATTTTATTGAACATATCTGCAAGAGGACTTAGATGTGACATTTATGAGGCTTTTTATTATGCGAGTATCGCAAGTCCTTGAGGTCCGTCGCTCCGTAAAGAATGTAATAGATCTGCCTTACCTGAAACGTGCGCACCGAAGCAACCCACCTAACCTATCGATGCCGATGCTAGAAAATGTTATTATTAAGTGAGTTTAACTTGTTCAAACACGTATTAGGATTGAACGGTTTGTGCATGTTGTTGGAATTTGGTTTGCGTGTGTACTCACCTAGTTGTGCTTGCCGGGGGTTGAGCTCTGGCTCTTTGGTCCCGTCTTTCAACTGTCAGTCAACTGGTGTACAGGTTCCTGAGCCTACTGGGCTCTATCATATCTACATTTGAAACTGTGTATGGAGTCAGCCTCCACCACATCACTGCCTAATGCATTCCGCTTGTTAATTACTCTGACACTGAATTCTCCATCTCTCCAGGTTCATATAATTGTGTGTACAATCCTTGAGGCATAGATGTGACTGCTGTTTTGAAGTTGGTTTGTGATGGTGAACTGAGTTGGGGAGATACATGTTTATATCACTGTTGGTGTGATGTCAGAGATAGTGTTTATATATTAGTCATTCTTTGTTATTATAGTGACCTGACCTCTGACCTCACCTGACTGTGTCTAACCGCCCTGCCCCTCTCACCCCTCCCCCCCACATGGCACCCCCCCCCCCCCCCCCCCCACATCCAATAATAATCCGCTGGGGTCAGGCGGCCCCTTCAAACTAGCCGCTTAATTGCCGCTTGTAAGTGGTATCAGGCGGGTGTAACTACCTATCTGTCGACAGCGACAACCACGCTTATCGGGGCCCTTCGTCGAGGTCAATTGAGGTCAACTCTAATTGATTTTTCCTATTCTTCCTCCGGGTGTCGGGGAACAAGAGGTACAAGTGAGGCTTAAAAAAACAAATGTTTATCTCTGAGATAACAGTGCGGGTTGACCCCTTTGAGGTGCGCGAGCACAGGTCTAGTTCCTTCGTTTTGGCCTCGTTATCTTGAGATGATTTCGGGGCTTTAGTGTCCCCGCGGCCGGTCCTCGACCAGCCCTCCCCCCCCCAGGAAGCAGCCCGTGACAGCTGACTAACAGCCAGGTACCTATTTTACTGCTAGGTAACAGGGGGCATAGGGGTGAAAGAAACTTGCCCATTGTTTCTCGCCGGCGCCTGGGATCGACCCGAAACCACAGGAT